TTCTTCTGATCTTTAAAGGTATCCCTCAGAAGATGATGAGTGCAGTACAATTTAATGTATTCAAGTGATGGATGTGTACAGATAGCTTCAAGCAAATCTAGTACTATTTCTATCCACTTAGTATCAAATGGCCCCTGAGAAGTTATACCACAATGTATCCTCAATAGTCTGATGGTTGTATGTGACTGTAACATGTTAGTAACAGCAGGTAGTATTTGTTCATATAATAGAGCATAATGTTCTTCTGTAAAGAGCATATCAAGTTCAAATTCTGTGAGATTGTTTTTTTGAGATATGACATCAAAAAATGTTGTCATGCCAGTCAATGGAATTGAAACATACAATTGCTGCAGACTGGTATTGTGACTGATACCATTTGTTACGAAGGACAAGAGTGAACTGGTAAGGAGATTAGTGATTTCAAAATATTTCAATGATTTGTTCTTTGCTAGCATCTTTTGTAGACTATTACCTACACTGCTGTTGCTATCTTGACTGGTGTAGTTATTGTAAGGATATGTAGTGACATCACAGAACTCATAAATATTCATGATCTTATTTTGTATATATATTGCATGCTGTATTATTAAAGATCAGTGTTTGGGTGTCAACACGAGGTATAGCGATCTCTCTCTCTCTGGGCGCAACAACCAGCCTTGCCTGTCAATAGCCAGCACTTACACATAGCATCCCATATACGAATTGCTATAGATACATTGATACTCTCAGAGCTTTAAGTGTAGTATTGGTTTGTAGAATAGTAAATAGCTCAATAGCACTCTCAGCTGTGTCTAGTGGTAAAGTAAGTGTATGTAGACTGGGATGAGAAAGAAATATGGAATTTGGTGGGTATGGTACATGTAGCATCAGACAGTGTAACTTTTTGAAATGTGGAAGGAGTGATGTCACCAGTTTATTATTAGGCCTTGGTCCTATCTCTAGAGCAGCCAGTGGTGTGTTGACCTCTACTATATTCAGTGAAGATGCAGTTAGGAAACAGTCTGATATGTTCAGTGAAAGAGCTTTTAATGTTTTGTTGCCCTTCAATAACTGCCCTATTACTCTGTCAGGTAGAGCAGGAGCATTAGAAACATTTAGTGTCAGTGATGTTATTGCTTTATTTCTTGTTACTCCTTTAATGAGACTGATAATGGTACTTGGTATTTTATTTAATACATGAAAAATAATGTTCATTTCTTGTAGTGTTGAATTCAATTCTATAAATTTCTCAAGTTCAGTGCACTTGTCTGTGGGATCTCCTATTGGTACAGTGGTACCATTCATTCTTATGTGAAGCAACTTTAGTTGAGGAAGACTGAGAAACTGTAGCAATACAACACAGGCAACAAATTTACCAGTAAATACACAGTGGCACTCCTGAATGTTACTTAGAAGTGATGGTTGTAAAAAATTGTGTATTGATTCATTATCTTGAGGCAACTCTACCTCAATTCTCTTACACTGGGTCAGTAGTGAGTTATTGGTTACCTTAAGGAGACAATTATTAGCGTGTACTTATTTTAGCGGTTTTCATGAAACTAACATTTGGCTGGTACTTAATTTAGCTTTTTTGATCATTTGGTATTAATAACTACTAGAAGAATGTAAAACATTAGAGGGACAAGCCTAAGCAAGCTATAGATTGTGCTATGATCTATGAGCAAGCAAAGCAATTGCACAAATCTAAATATATACAGTAGATCTTGTTGCATTAATCTTGCTAGACTTGCTTAAATTGCTTACAGTTAGAAGTAGTCACTGAATGAAGAAGATTGTCATCTGCTTTTTAACCTAGGCTAACTGCTAGAGAAGTCTTTGGACAGCAGTTTAGTATTATCTTGCTGGCCGTTTGCTGCAAATAAGCTCAGACTTGCTGACGGCCGCCATTTTAATTGTGACCACACCCGCTTTGAATGAAGTTATTATTAGGGTTATAAAGTTAGCGCGGACTTAAGTTAGCGAATTTTTTTTAAATCGCTAAAATTCGCTAAATTAAATACCCGCAAACAATAGTCTCCTTAAGGTAGTCCAGCGGTAAAGACTGATAATTCCTGGTTATATACACGCCCAAGATGCAAGTGATTCCATGTTGTGTTAGAATTGTTTATAAAAAAACTGAGACACATCCAGTCAAATAATGATAATGATAAGCTTACTCCATCCAGACACAGTGAGTGGTTGTTGATGAATTGTGCTAATACTTGACATAATTTTGTGTTCTGTGACTCATACAGGAGTTGAAAAAGAATGGAAACATTATCAAAATCGTCAGAACTGACATGATCAAAATTTAACCTAATATCAGGATTCCGATAAAAGTAGGAGAAATGGCAAATGTCAAACCCAAACAATGGTTCCCTCTTACACTGTAAGTCAAGTTGTTGTACATTAAAATACTGTTGATAGCTCTCATGTTCAAGGTGAGTTAGACCTGCCACAAACCTCAGGCACATTCGAAAGTGATAATCATCAAAATGATACCAAAATACTTCCTCTGTCTTCTCCTCATGCTTAGCTATCCACCATGCTGATAGAAATTCCTGTATACTCAAGTGAAGGAACTGATACTCTTCCTTATCATATTCTATGAATGTTGAAATCAGTCCAAGATACTCTTCCTTGACTGCCTCACTCAGTGACTGTACTTCATGTGAAGAGAATGTCCTTTTTATATTAGCCAGGTTAATATAAGCTAATTGACACAACTCTTTTAAAGGTTTAGCGATCTGTGTTGGTAATAAAGAAAGACTACCTAGAGCATATGGGTTAATATCACGTCTTTTAACATGTCTTCTGATGGTTTGTAGGATAAAGTTCTCATACAGTTCAGTGAGTGTTGTTGGTAAATGTCCTCCTTCCTTACAATAAACTAAGATGACCATGGAACAGACTAGTGGTATATAACACAATGATTGGACATCATTTCTTACTTTCAGATCATTAATGAGTTTCACTGCTAGTTGTGAGTCCTTACTACTTTGAGTAGTTGTGAAAGGTTGTCCATGTTTATCATCTTTTTGAAGTGTTTGTATAATTACTGTTGATACTTCTTTTTCAGAAAACCCAATGACCTGAACATGTTTTGTAAGAGTATCTAATTGGACTCGCCACGCTTGCGTAGGCGGGTACTATGCAGTTGGGTTGTCATTACCCGAGACCGCGTAGGCGTTGGTCGAGGGTAAAGCAGTCGTCCTGTCTGTGTGTTCGCTTTGACCTCTACTTTTGAGCTGACACTGCTTTCTTGTCTTATCCTGGAGAGTCTTATAATCAACACTGGCTCTTGAAAAAGTTATTCTCCGTCTTGGGAATCCTTGATTTGTCTTTTCCGTGGTAAAAGAAGCTGGCAAAGTCGCCAAACGTAGTCGGCTCTCCTGCAGCTCTTTCGTAGTGAAAGCAAAAGAGCAACAGGGCAGATAAAACAATAAAGCAAGGCCTCATCTTTCATCAATATGAGAGAAATTGCTTCAATCGTCTTCATTTTAAAGATATGATAGCCCAAACTTTCATACCTTGTGGGTTTAGACGAGACTCTCTTCTCCCGAGGTAGCGGCCAGAGTTTTTTAACATTAGGGACTAGATAGCAGTTTGTATGCAACAAATAGAGCCTAAAAAATGTATGCTAAACTGTTCAAAAGTCGAGAAAAACCAAAGCTTTCTTCACCACATAGGGCCATGTGCCATCATTTACTGTGTATGGAGGTGGAGCATGGCTTGATTGAGCCACACCTTCATTGCAGCATTGCTGCAGCTAGCAGCAGTGCAGCAAATATGCTAGAGCTCTTAAGACTTTGTCTAAAAAAAACAAAAAATTCTCTGTCTGTCTCAAAACATTCACTAAGTTTTAATAAATCTAGTACATGCTGAAGCTTCTTCTCTGTCTCAAAACTTTCACCAATTATTTTCTCTTAATTTACTGAAACTGTTACATACAGATTGTGTCGAGGGTACGCACTTTAGTGCTCTTGTTCTGTCATTCTGTCACGAAAATTCCTGTTAATTCCTAGTCAATATCTTTTTTACTGAGCTCTCCTGAGTTATAATTCTTTTAAGGCTTTGAGAAAAAGGTAATTTATTTAGCTCCTTTGTATTTTAATAGCAATCCGTGGTAGCAAAAGCTGAATATTTTCAAGGATAGACCACTTTTCCTAGCCAAATCTTCGTGTTTCACTCTATTTGGTCAAGATTAGCATTGATAGGTAGAGAAAAGTACCTAGATTAAAAAATATGTGGGAATTTTCTAGTCTCTTTTTTGTTTGCGAGTTACAGTTGCTCAAAGTTTGTGATTTAGCCTCTTCGAAAAATTTTCAGGCAGCACTGGGGAAAGCAGGAGCAACCAAACTATCTCAGTCTCTTTTAAATATCTAGGCAACAGTCTTGCGCCAACTCTTTCTTTCATTAGATCTTCTGATGCTAAAATAAATTTCAGCTTTTCTTCTTTCTCCTAGCCATGTGACACTATTGAAAAGATGATTGCCTGTTTCACCACACCCAACAATATGCAATGTTCACTCCTGCCCCACCCATTTCAATCACGTGTTTTTTTCTACTCTTTGCTTTGCTCTCATTCTCACTGGAATCTCACTCTAAGTCTGCTAGATTTTTGACTGAGACTGTATTTTTTGGAACATTGATAATACAATTATGTAAGTTAATGACTATAGTATAGCTATCATCTTCACATGTATGTATGTGTATGTGTATATATATATATATATATATATATATATATATTCTGTTCTCATTAGTGTAGATTCAGTTCCTTTTTTGTCCTTCATTTTTATTCCTTTCAGTGATCTCAACTAAACTGTAAGTTCATGACTATTTACCTTTTTGTATCATTATGTGTTTATTGTAGACTGCTGGATGATATCGTTAGAAGCATACCGGGCCTCGATAGGTGTCTTTGCTAGTTATAGGAGGTATAGTAGGTCTCCTAATGTTATTAAAAATAATAATAATAAAAAATTAATAAAAAAGTCTTTTGTTGTAATATTCATGTTAGTGTTTAATATCTTTTATTTGTTGAGTGTATCACTTTTGGTAATTTTTTCCTGTTTTTGTTTGTGTGTACATGTATACGTGTGTGTAGGATGTATGTTTCTTGGTGTACCAGATGATTCTTGCTTTTGTATATTATGTGGGTGTAATGTTTCTTTATTGTCTGATTTACTTACAACTTATTGCATTTATTCTACAATATTATTGCTCCTTTCTGGAGATGTTGAGCTTAACCCTGGGCCTTGTTATAGGAATTGTCCACAGTGTTTAAAATCTGTTCATATAAGAAAGCTTGTGTGTGACTGTGGCCATATATTCAAGAAAAAGCATGAAAAACAACATTTTTCAGCTAACTTTTCTGCCAAAATATCTAGTAATCTATCTATGGCAAATAATAAAGAAATGGCGTTAGATACATGTGAAGAAAGTCAACAATGTTTAGAGACAATAAATGAACAACGTACAGAATCTTATAGGTTAGCAAAAGCAAAAAAGAGAGCTTTGGAAACTCCAGAAGAAACTGAGGAACGTCATCTCCGTGACCTAACTTACAAGAAAAGGAGAAAAGAGCTCGAATCTTTGAACGATGGTAATGAAAGAAGAGATAGAAACAGTGAATCAGCTTCAAAGCGCCGAAAGCTAGAAAGTGATGAAGAAAAGACTTATCGAAAGCAACAAGATCGGGCTTGCAAAGCACGCCGTAGAGCAATTGAAACAGAAGCTGAAAAGAAACAACGACAGACAAATAACAAAGAATGCCAGGCTCGAAGGAGGCAAGTTTCTAAATTAGATGCTGCTATAGATAAGTTTCTTGCAAAAATTAGTGTGGGAGCAGAATTTGTTTGTACAATTTGCCATAGATTATTATACAAAAATAGTGTTACTATTTTTAATCAGAAAAAGTATACAAAGTTTGATGCAGAAGCCATGAAGAAATTTTTGTCGTATTTATATATAAGTAATAATGGCCAATATTATATATGTAAAACCTGCCATAGGTCAATGAGTTGTGGCTCATTGCCAGCACAGGCGGTTGCAAATGGGCTTTCATTAGATGAAATTCCTACAGAGCTTGCACGATTAAAACCTCTGGAAATTCGTCTAATTTCGAAAAGGATTGCCTTCATGAAGCTTGTTGCCTTGCCTGTTGGGAAACAGCGATCCATTCATGGTCCAGCTGTTAATGTTCCATCAAAATTGGACATTGTTTGTAATAGCTTACCTCGCTTGCCATCACAATCTGAGCTTATTGCTCTCAAATTGAAGCGTAAAATGTCATTTAAGAGCCACTACTTATATGATTTTATAAAGCCTGAGCATATATTAGATGCCTTAAAGTGGCTAAAAACAAATAATTCTCATTACAATGATATTAGCATTAATAATGAATGGCTAGCACATGCTTCTATTGATGATCCTGTTTTATTGTCTAGTTTAGTTGATAATGTAGATAGTGCTGTTGTTGAAACAGGTGCATTGCAATCATCCCAGCCTGTTCCCTCTCTCCCTTCTCTTTATAATAATAATAATACAGCTACATGTACAACTGCACATGTACCCTCATCACCATGCTCTCCATCATTTGTTAATAATACACCCATTGCTTTATTAAATAAGTTTGCTAATAAAAAGGGTTTTCAAGTGCATGATGTTCCTGGTGATGGCAATTGCTTATTCTCAGCAATTAGCTATCAGCTGCCTGGTAATGCTGTCAGTAGTGATAATTTAAGAAGTATGCTTGTATCATATTTTAAAGCAAATCCAGACAACTATATCGATTTTTTATCACAATCATTTACTAGCAATGACCCTTTGAATGCTGATACTGAACAGCCTACTGACCTCGATGAATTAGTGAATTCATTGGCCCCTGAAATTCAAAAAGAAATGAGGTGGCATCATTATGTAGATAGGCTGGAGAACAATGCTTGGGGGGATAATGTTGCACTCCAAGGATTATGTGATATGCTATCAGTCAGTGTACACATAATCAAGCTTGTAACTAATAATACGTGTATATCATTTTTAGTTACCCCAAGTAGTTCTGTTAGTAAATGTACTATCAATATTGGCTTACTTTATCAATACCATTTTGTTGGCCTTGATCATTTGTGTGTAGAATCTGATAACAATAATAAAATTGAAATGAATGATGATAATCATGTTGAATGCGAAAATGCAAACATAATTAGCGATGATGAAATAGAACGTGGTGATCAACATAACATGGAAATTGATGGTGGCCCACCCACCGCTAGCGTTTTATCAATTGAAAACATAGAAAGTGAGAATGCAATACTCTCTATTGCACCTGCTGAAGGTGAACGGCCTTTATCTTTTTTTTTTGATGAAGACTTTGAAGTATTAGCTAATCCAGATAAATTTCCTTTTGGGAAAGGATCCTTTCATACGGAGGAGAGGCCTGTAAAAA